GATACCGCTGTCTATTTAAGTTATCGATACTTGAATATGCGAAGCCCTTATTTCTCAGTACGACAAACGTCGGAGATACCGCTGGCTGAAACTCTGACAGTACGGATATTATTTGAATCATCGCACAACGGTAAAAGCATAGGAATCAATTTCCCCGCACAATAACCCTATCGGCAAGTGGGGTGGCCACTTGAATGTGGCGATAGGGTTTCAGCTGAACTGGAGCAGGAAGGTACAAAATATTTTGCAGCCGTGGTCAGTGGTCGGCCGCAGTTCTTGTTTTGCTCGCCGTTAATTGATTATAGCTTGTATCCAACGTGGAGGCCGCAACCTCCGAAAGCCCACCAAAACCAAAGCAACCGAGAGAGCCCTTCCTGCCAGCCATTCCACTTCGACTCCCTTCATTCTGTTGCCGTACATTTAGTTTTGTTCGTTGCCCCTCGCCATACCCGTCCTACGTCTTGGTGTAAATCTATAATGAGCCGCAGTTTATGGCGATTCCACCTTCCAGCCTTCCCCAGCTTATCCGCCGCAAATTACCCAATACTGCATTAAATACCTACTTTATTCTCAATGATCATTCGCGATGATTAATTCCTCCATTGCTACAAACATAAACACGAAACGTTATAGCGATATATTTTTTTATTCCCAGCATTTGATGGTAAAAAAAACGTACTCGAGCGGGAATTAATTCTTGATCTTTTCAGTTCAAACAGAGAAAGAGAGAGAGTCGTAAGTCGTAAATAAAAGTGCGATTAAATTTCACCTTTCAAATTTTTCTAATAAAAATCTCTTATTACATGTTTGATATATTTGCCAGTGTGTGTCGAAAAAAAGTGTACAAAGTTGAAAGTCTGAAATTTGAATTTAACGTTACGATTAGCGAGATATATATTACAGGGGTATGAAACCATTTAAAGTGAAGAGATCGTCCCCAGAATTCAGATTTGCAATGTTCGGCGAGTTTGAAACGCCCGGAGGAATCCGAAACGATCAGAAAGTTATCGATCACGGCAACCTTCCTCGCTTGGCCGCCGTCTACCTGTTTCGGACACGTCAAAGCATGGACATGGAGCCGGCTGTCTTCTCGTTTGTTTCAAAGTCTCGTCACTCATTTTTCATACGTTTACATCGCCGACGCCGCCGCCGTAGGTTCCATTCGATGCTAAAAGCGCGAAAGAGAAAGCGATGGAGGAAAAGAGAGATAGAAAGAGAGAAATATAGAGATAGAGATAGATAGATGGATAGAGAGAGAGAGAGAGGGATGGAAAAGACGAAGAAGTTGAGGACGGGACGAAGAAGGGTAATCGCCTCTCTTCTCTACGCCGTTCGAAGTAGCGGCTCTTTCCGCCCTTTGTTCTTCCTCGCAAGTTTTCTTCCTCTAGGCGCGGGGGAAACAAAAGACAAATTACAGAGACGCCCATCATGTGACCCTTCCCACCTGTCTATAAACGACCTGGACTAGTCCGGAGGAAAGGAGAACACACCAAAGACAACCACAGAAGGAAGATACATGATCCGGATGACTCGGTCGCGTGTAAACTACTTTCACGTTGAGAATCTGCTTTTTTCCCGCGCCTTTAATTGTCATATTTTTCTAAGACACATTTCTTCATTGCCCATCATCGCCCTGACGCGAATGTCCGTGGATTAATCACAAGTGCAACGAAACAATGCAAAACGTAAAAAAAAAAAAGAGAAAACAGGGAGCATGGGAGTTCTATCATCTGTTTGTGAACATTCCAGAGTGGGAGAAGGAGACGAAAGAATAGAAGGGACACGAGCGAGCGAGTCGAAATTGAGCAAGGTCTTGCGTGCGGATCGCTTTCATCTCTATTATCGCTGTAATTGCTGCTATAAATGTTGTATTCGGCGGTCGCTGTTTTCTGCTATCACCGTTGCTCCCTAAATTACCGTTTCGTACATTTGCTATTTTCTATAATCGTTGTTTCCTACAATCGCTGTTCTGTGCTATAGACAATTCCTGCGTAAAACACTTGGAAGTGAAAGATTTTTCTTGGATGTAACGAATAGAAATCAAAACTAAAATGCATGAATGGACAATCGAAATTACGATGTAAATTTGATATTCACACTAATAAGGTGTTTAATGCTGCTTCATATAACGATTCTTCTTCCTTGTTCCTCTTGACAAAGTATCGGAACGAGAAGACCAGCGTATACATTTAAAGAAGTGACAGAAAGGTCGCATCACACCACTCTCGATGTTATGTTTTACCAACAGGACACGTTCTCCAGTGAAAACACGTACCGGCGTTCTGTATCGAAGGGACGCGCGAAGCGACGGCCGTCGCGTTTATCACGGACATCAACATCTGCTCCATCGGCGATTGACGAGCAATTACGTTATAACGAGAGAGTTCGCTGTTATTTTAATATCTTTTCCTTTGCGTGTTGCATCCTCCTTCGTCATCGACTATTTGAAGCGCGATCAATATCCCCCTGACGGAATCTTTATGGTCGGCGACCTCTTGATCATTCTTTTAACAAAACATACGTGTGCGGTGACAATTTCAACCGGATGCGCCCGCACGGACGAGGCAGACAGCGTGATATACGAAAATACAAACTCTATTTTCGTGCTCTATCATTCTCACCTCGCACACGATCCTGTCAAGCAGCTCTCTTCATTTTGACTACACCTTGACAGTTCGTCATCTGCTACATCGTGTCGCAAGAACGAAAAGCTCGCTAGCAACGCTGATATTTTCGTCCGGTCTTCGAAAAAGAAAAAAGTAGAAACAAAGAAAAAGCCGTCGTCATCGTTGCAAAACAGTAATGCCTGTCACTAATTTGAATGGACAAGAAGCGGCGACTGGTATCGTTAAATTCATAACTGCACGTCCTTTGTTTAACAACTGAAAGCAACGATGTTTGACCAACTAACGATCAGGATATGCGACGTCCGATGTAACGTCTATTTACATCTTCATTAACAATGCCTCGAATATTTTATAACAACCGTGTCGATAAAAATTCAAGTGTACAGTCCAATTATTTTTGCGCAATAACTCCAAAAGTGCGGACACATTTTCGCAAGCTCTCTGAAGGCGTATTGTTTTTCTCTTTTATCGTGTGTATTTTTTTATTCAGCAGACTACGCCGTTTAATTCGTTGTACCGTATAGTTATTTTCCAGCTTAATATCGCTGTACGTTCATTGTCAAATTGAATTAAACTCCTGGAACGATTGAACAGATACAGGGCGTGGAGTGGAGTTTGATCGACAGTTTCGTCCAACCAATCGCCAGACCGAAATGCTGATGAGCCCCACGTCAATCATGCGATACTTTCATCTCGCCACCATCACCCTCACCCTATGGAAACTCCACGTGCAGGATTTGCTAGGTTCAAAGCTTACTACACCTTCAGTCTACGCCCTTCTCTCTCTCTCTCTTTCTCACCCCCGAGTGTCTCCTCTCTTTCTCTCTCTCCCTCTCTCTCTTTCTTTCTCGTCTCTATTCTCCCTCTTCCTATCTAACTGTCTCTATCACACACCTTCTCCGAACCTTTCCCAGTCACTATATCTTCCTCTTTTTACCTTTCGTCATCTCTATGTCTCTTTTTTTCCGTTTCATTCGATTATGCCCCGTCTCTTTCTTCTTTAACCCCTGACGACTCATCCTACTGTCGAACCACCCTTCAGCCACCCTTACATCCGCTCGCACGCTATGGGGTAGTTTAGCATCTCGAGCCTACGAAACGAACCACCCCCTTGCTGTGCCCCTTCGTCCGAACTGCGTCACGCCGTATCGGTTTTTTCTCTCGTGATACGGCGACGCGTAAAAAACTGTAACACCCCTGATCCTTGATAAAAAGAAAAAAGAAAAAATAAGAGTCCAGGTGGTCAATGACCGATGGAATATACACAATATATTTCCCTCGCGATGTTCACGCCTGTTACAAACTTTTCTGCACTCTTAGGTGTGACCGAACGGTCGAAACGTTCGTGCGATACGTGCGATACGACAGATTCACGCAACAAGAGAAAACATACAAGTTGTTTAACGTTTGTAACGAAGCTTACGTGTTATTTCTAAGAACTGTTTGATCACGAGTCGTCTTGTAAACAATTGGAGCTAACGAAGCTATCAATTTTAACTGAAATATTATTTCCGTGGGCGTCCAGCGAATTCCGTATAATTATGCGATAGACGGCTATTAATTATTATTTTTACGGCAGTTGAGTGGAAATTATTCTTTAACACCGCGTGTCTCTCGGCCAAGCACCGTGAGACGTTTAGCCGTCACTTTCTAGACCAGATCCATCCCATATAAACCGCGATGCCTCCTTGCGACGTCTCCCCGCCTGCCCCCTCCCGCCGTTCCTCATCTTCAGGATCCTGCGTGGTATTTCTCTTGTTATCGCGGAACAAGTTTCTTGTCCGATAACAATTAGGAGGTGTTTCGCATCGACATGGAATAGTGCCGGTGGGAAACTTGCCCAAAAGTTTGTAAGGAGTCGAGTAACCGGCCGGAACAACATCAGAATGGGCCTCTTCGCTGCGCCGAGAATCTTCGCTCATGCATTGTTAAGGATGTCATGTCGCATCCTTCCCCTTCCTCTCTCTCTCTCTCTCTCTCTCTCTCTCTCTCTTACTCTCTCTCTCTCTGCCTCTTGCTTAAATGATCATTAATTAGGATACCACTTACTTGCTGCAATAGACAAAAAGAGGACACTGTTAGGTGGTAAAGACAAAGCAAATATCAAGACGCGGGAAGTAACGTGCTGCGTAAAAAAGTAGAGCTAAAAATTACAAGTGACCGAAAGTGGAGATCGGCAAGAGCTTACAAAGGCATCTTTGCGGCATTCACGAGATATTGAAATACATACGATGCTCCTTCCAAAATATATAAATATATCGGTTCGTGTGATTAAAAGAACCAATCGTCCCTTTTTACTCAAACGACGTATTATATTATTCATGAGTTATCACGATTACGTTAATTGAGAGAGAATGTATTTTTATGTTGCAGAAAACGGCCTACCAAGGAGATTGCGAACCGCCTATACGAATACGCAACTCCTTGAGTTAGAAAAGGAGTTCCATTTCAACAAGTATCTTTGTCGACCACGGAGAATAGAGATCGCTGCTTCGTTGGATCTCACAGAGAGACAGGTAACGCAATTCCACTCAAACTGTTCTGTACGAAAATGATCCATCCTACTGCTCCCCCTTTAAGCGTTGTGATTCCGTTTCAAGTAATTTCATATCCGATCCTTAAAACACCACAGTTAATTCCTTATTAGGCGACTATTGCTGTGAATCCACCAACTCCCTCGTCTCGTCCGTGTTTAATAATGAAAAACTAAGCGAAATCTCATATTATCCTTCGGTCAGGTGAAGGTCTGGTTTCAAAATCGACGAATGAAACACAAACGGCAAACGCTAAGCAAGGAAGACGGCGACGAGAAGGACGGCTCCACTTCGGACGGTATGGAGAAATCCAAGAGCGATAAGATGTTGTCCATCGATAACGACGAGAAGAAGAGCTGTCATAACTGTGATATTTCGGGCGTAGGCGACGTCGGGAGCACCCTCACCGGCGACGTCACGGACCTAGGTTCCTCCGGCCGGAGAAGCAGCAATAACAACAACACGCCCGGCGCGACCAACAACAACAACAACACCAGCAACAACAACAATAACAACAACAGTAATCCCGGCTTCAACACGAACAGCAACGGCGCAAGTAGCGTCGGCAGCACGAACAGCGTGACCAGTTCGTTCGAGAAGATGATAGTGGACGACGACTCGAGATCGCAGGACGGCAGCGAGGTGACGTCGCCGAGCGTGACGAAGAAATTGTCGAGCGAGGTGAGAGTGAAAGTCGAGAGCGGCCACAAAAGTCCGAACAGCGCGAAGCAGCAGCAGCAAATTTCCGTGAGCAAGAGGTCACCATCGGCCAACACGAAGGACATGTGCTCGGTGAACAGCAACGGCGTCCTGCTGGCTATGCCGGACTCGACGGTCAGCACGCCGGTTCTGCCCGGTCAGAATTCCACGAGAAGCCTGACGCCCTCCTCGACGCCGGGGACACCGGTTCAGCTGCAGCAGGGCAGCCCGCTCCAGCAAGCGACTCACACGGCCTACATGCAGAGACCGCGAAGCTCGCCGTCCTCCACGACCTCGTTGCCCTCGGGCCCGATGCTGCACGCGAACCCGGACACGATGTCGCCTCACGGCGGCCGTAACATCTCGAGCAATCAGCAGCACTTCCAGCAGCAGCAGCAGCAGGGCGTCTATCAGGCCGCGCCGGCGCTCGATTACCGAAACGGCCTGTCCGCCAGCAGGCAAAGCGTGCCGAGCCAACAGACTCAGATGCAGAGCGGTTACTGTTCCAGAGACACGTACCAGCAAGCAAGGATCTCGTATCCGGCCGAGGTGCATCCCCTGTACGTCAGACAGAACCAAGCGGTGGGATCGAGGATGGCGCACCACGTCCGAACGGCGGCGGCGGGCACGTCGAGGTCGATGTACGGCGGCAACAGCATGCAGTTCCAGCAGCAGCAGTACGCCGGCACCGCCGGGGAGTACAACGGATACCCGGCCCAGGCGGCCGGGCCGCCTTATCACGCTTCTTATCACAGAGCATCGATGCAAGGCGCCAACGCCTACGGCTCCGGTCAAGGGGGATACTCCGCGGGCGCGCAGAACGAGCAGAGCACCGACGGCTACATGGCGCCCGGGAATTACGGCTACTCGACCGGCGGCGGCGGCTATCACGGGGCCGGTGAGAATCTGCACACGGCGCACGCCGCCGTGTCCGCCCAGCATTATTACAACGACATCCAGCAGCAGCAACATTCCCAGCAGCAACACGCGGCCGAGGGCTACGTCACTCATCAGCCGGGCATGCATTCCGGCGACTATCGACCGGCTAACAAGTGTCACCCGAGCGCGTACTACGAGCAGACTACCGGTCAGCTGCACGTCCATCAGGGCGGAGAGGCCTCCAGCATCCCGAGCAGTTACGTCTCGTCGCCGGATCCGTTCCCAGCGCCCGGGATGACGACGACCGCTACGGCGATCGCAGCTGCCACCGCGGCGGTGATCACGCCACCCGGAAGCGCCGCCGGCCAGGCTGACAGCAACAACGAGTCCTACGGCAATTACGGCAATTTCTACGCCGGCGAGCCGGTGCACACCGCGCCGCCGCCGTCCGCCGACAACAGCAACAGCTCGTCCGACTTCAACTTCCTCAGCAATCTGGCGAACGACTTCGCCCCCGAGTACTATCAGCTCAGCTGAGTCCACGAGACCGAGAATCCTTGCCAGCTGGACTGGGGCGACGAGCAGTGCCTGCTCAATGCCTTGTACTGAGAGGAGTGTGTCTTCGTCCGTGACAGGACGACCGGGGTTATCGAAGCCTGCCGGTTAGACGTGAAATCCGACGAAATTATTTTCGGGGACGAGCGATGTGAGAAGATCGTGCGTGATTTAGCATATTTGTACATAATAAAACCTGAAACGTTTGAACCTTTTCTCTCTCTCTCTGATTTTAACAAATGCAAGCATATCTCAAGTAAACCGGATCACCAGAGAAATTTTCGCCGACTGTTCTAAGTTGCAACGATGTAATTCCCTAAACTGTAATTCCGTCGGTCATTTCATCCGGGCAATATCGACTTTAAAACGCCTCATCTCGTCGGAGACGAGAAGCGCGTGATCCCCGCTATTTTGTATTCCAAACGTTGAGGGATATTTCGTTGAAGTATATGAAGCAACGGTGACAACGAGTGCAATGGTTGTGTTAATGTGTAAATTGGAACCACGATGATACGTAGAGTTCCTGTACCTTCGGAATTTTCGCGAGGTGTTTCGCGAACGAACCTGCCGAACTTACCATTTCGACGCGAAGCGCATTGATTCGCGGGAAGTGAACTTGTGAGTGATATTAGACTGATATGTACGAGCTGTGGTTGAAAAAAATGTGCATAAATGTTGTAAATATATCAAAGATTCGCTGTTGTGTGACATGGGATTATAATGGGTATATCGATTCAATTGGATTCTCGTGAATGGAAACATGAGGTGTAAGTGCAATCTTGCTGCGAACATTCTCTCTAACGTTTCGTTAAAACGTTTGTACAACGTAACTGTTACAAATCATCGGTGCATGATGTTTCTTTCATTTCCGACGTAATTTCATTTATTGTCGGGGCATGTGTTCGAACGAGGCTTCTAGTTTTGCTTGAACAGAAACGGGATAACAGGAATCTTCAGTCTAATTTTGAAGAAACTATCGAAATTATTTGGTATTATTTGAGTCTACAAAAATGTTGAGTTTCCACGTGACAATTGATTGCGCTCTGTGCAACGGGATAACTTTCACATATGATTTAAATGGCGAAACGAAACGAAGCTGTAGAATCAATGAGCAATAATTAATAATGAAATTGTGTACATATATATCATACGTTAGATTAACGGAGCACAAATAAATAGAAAAAGTCGCATCTATACACGATTACTATACTGAGTACACAACGTCTGAAGAAATGAAATAGGTACAATCTGTTAGTTTTTAATTAACACAAAAAATAGATCGCTCTCTTATATAAAAAAAGAAAGAAAAGATCGTCCTCTCCTATTAAATATAGAGTATAGTGAAAATTGGTCACCATTGCGGGAGGAAAATGGAACAGACGCACTTGTAAAAACATTACCTACGCTGTCCGTTTTGTGAAAAAATGAGTTCGAGAAATCGATCAATGTGTGATTCTGTATTGTATACATACGAATACAAACATGTCACCTAATGATACCGAGTATCGTTGAGCAATACACATCGAATGGTAACCAGCACCCTCCAAATGTGCGGAGTGTCGTCCGTCAGTAACGTCATTTTTTCACAAACCGCGGTTTCTTTTCTAATCTCTACTAGCGCTACTTTAAGCAAACCAAATAAATTATTGTCGCTCTTTTAGCAATATAAATGTAAACATAAGTAGGGATGTAACTTTAATTTTCACCTCGCGGCAATATATTTAATACCCAGTCCTTTTTGTATAAAACATTTAGACGCCGTGTCATTGTTCATGTAAAGACTATTTCATGTACATAATACGTATACGATAACCGTATATTGTTTATTCATTCTAACTGTATAATTGTGTTGCAAGTGAGCCCTTGACACGATAAACAAAGTTATCACACGTGTACATTCGTTCACCGACACATTTGGCAAATACAGGTCACAGTGAAAAGTAAAAGGTGTTCTTACATTTATTGTCTTTTTTCTGTTTTTTTTCCTCCTTACTAAGCGCGGTCGATCTCTCTCTCTCTCTCACTCTCTTCTTAACTATTTTCGCGATCAAAAGAGAAGCGGCGAGAAGCGGATGGAATTTGAAAATGTCACACAAGTCAACGAATGATATGGGAAATCGCAACTTTAACGAAGGAGTGACCATGAACGGAGGTGGAACGCGCGCGTGAATTTCGATCGTAGGTGGTGCGATTTGCTGTGCGGGCGAGATGGAAGTGACGATGATGGATGACCCGAAATATCGGAGCAATTGAATTGAAATATTATTCTTAGCAACGTTCTTACACCGTGTCAACTTTACATTCTATTCAGAGATTACACGCCATTTGTTATGTCCGGGGAAATTCATTTACGCACATAAATTAATTTATCATGACCGAATAAAGTTGGGGAAAAATATTAACGTTAATTCTCTCTCTTTCTCTCTTTCCTTCTTTTTCTCTTTTTCTAAACCATCACGTGTAAGTAACTTTCGAGTAGAAGGAATGATTGTTGTTGTTGAACATAACAGCACAGCGCACAATATCGCCGAGAGAGTGGAGATTGTAGTAGTATTTTGACGTTTCATACGAAATCACAACTTTAACGAAAGAAGAAACTCAAATCGAGAGAACCCCGTCCGCCGCTAGGACGGACGGCTGTGCCAGTGAAGAGACTGACAATGATGGATGACTACGCGTGATGCGTGTGAGTCAAGCCCATACGACGCCATAGCTTCGAGCTCATATGTGGCCTCCGGCTTCGAGCGAGCCGAACTGTTGCTATCGTTGCATCTGTGCAGAACACCCTCCCGAAACACGACCCCCGATCAACGATCCTCCCCACATCGGCTAATTTCTCGAAGCTATTAACTTTTTCTCCGACAAAGGCCAAAAGTCTTCCGGACGAGAGGGGGGAAAAAAATAACAAGCCCAGTTGGAAGACGAAAATTGCGTTTTCGTCACTTTGCACTTTTCGATACTTGGAGCGTTACTTCAAACGACGATTTCGACCGGCGGCAACAATTCAGCGACCCGTTGCTGCTGAATGTAGAAACACCGCATAATGTGGGAATTCGCGCGGACAACTCAATGGGCATGTACACTCAGTGCGTGTCCCAAGGTTTTACAATATATATATATATCTTTATCGTCAATCACGCGGCGCTATCGTGGTCATATCGGGGCGTCGAGGGTTGGCTCCGGAGTCTGCAGAGTCAAGGGTTACTAGCCTCGAGTCGTGCGATACTTGCCCTTTCCGCCCGACCGTCGCGACCATAAATCTTACGATCGTCAAGGGACGACTCATTCACGCCACTTTGCTTTCCATCCGATATCCGCTAAGCAGGAAACGCATGGATACCCGCGACTTTCAAACCTGATTCGCGGCAAGCATCACTATCCGCAGCATCGTGCCCTTTCATTCTGTCCGACGCGATTCGTTATAATCGTTAATTCGCGGGCGCGGCGACGAAAATTTCACGTCGCGAATATTTCCGACCGCCGAAATAGATTAATTAATGCGTCGTGCGGATATCACCGCGCGATTGTTTGATTTAATCGATTTTGCACAGTGTTCCCCGGAACAAAAAACCGCGTCGAAAATCGAAAGGCGTCCCGAGATGGAAGGCAGCGAGAGACACGAGTAGCCGACAACGGTTCTTACTTCCTTTTCTTCGAAGACGCGCGCGAGAGAAATGTCGTTAACGCTTAAATGTTAATAAATGTAGATAGAGAATAGGGGGAGGGGGGAAGGGGGGGGCGTATATATCAGACAGATAGAGGCTCACCTGAGCGCCCGGCTGACTAAGTGAAGAAGGTAAGAAAGCGCTGCTATGCTGGCGGCCGCTTTTGAGGCTCGGTTTGTCATGGTTCGCATGATAGATGGAGGAAGCGGGAGCTTCGGCTCTCCCAGTGTATATACGGCGTTGAGTTTTAATCACGGGGACACCTTGCGATCATCTCTCGCCGTTAACTCGTTCGCCTACCGCAAATAGAATCTTACACGCCTCGCGCTCCCGTTGCCGGCGGAACGACGAAATTGTGAAACTTATTTTCGACCGTCCTCGCGTGTCCGTTCCTTTAATCTTTCCTGAGAATATTTTGGACGGTCGATTCTCGAGAAAGAGAGAGCCTCGCCGACCCCCGCTCGACACTTGGAATTATCCGAGAGAAACGGTGAGAGAAGTGAGAGAGAGATTTCCGCCGGTAGGAGCGTTTTGAACATTGTTCGCTTGTTAGTAGGAATTAGGAGACGTGAGAACCGGAATAATCAAGGTAGAAAGACGGAAAATTTCCAAGCGTTAAAGTCGATTTCTTCGCAACGATCTAACGGCGGACGTTGCGAATTGAATCGAATATATCTACCTGGCGGACTAACGTCATTTCTTAATCTCGATAATGCTTTCCATCACTGCTCCATGGAATAACTATGATTCCGCGGTCATAAAGCAGTCGATGTATCGCCCATCCGGACATTTCGAAAAAGAAGGACGATGAACATATGCGATCGCCGATGCGACGATGATGAGTTGGTCTGTATCACGCCATGGTTCGAATGGTTACTTACATCGAGCCTAAACAAGACACTCCCCGATAATACAACTTTGCTAATCGCATAACATCTGATGTAACGTCAAATTTATTCTTCGATACACTATACCTGTGAAGCTTGAATAACAAAGAGATCAATAATGATAAGACGAATGAAAGTACAACTTTAGCGTTGGCGATTCAGTCGATGGAACATCGATATAATTCGATTACACGTAATCCACATTGTCCTCCCCGGCGACGGACTCGCGTCGAGATGAGACGACAAATCAGTCGTGAGCAAATGCGTGCGTGTGTAACGGAGCAGAACGGCCCTATAAAATGACTAATGATGTAAGGTGGGTGTAAAGTGAAGCGGCTATTGATTCGTAGACGCATAAATGACACGTCTATCGGCTACCGAGGCCACCAGTCATGCTGAGGTTTCAACTCTTAGCATGGTGAACCCCCGAACCTCCTCACTCGACGACCCGGTAGCTATAGAGACGATGATAAACGGTCCATAGTAGCTGGAAGCTGCGGTTTACAATTACCTAGTAATATCTTCCTGCTCCCAAACGCGCCGCGGGTGGTATTAGTAATCCGTTAATTTTTAATTAATGGCAGATCACAGCCGGATATTCACCTTCCGTAACACCTCACCCGAATATTATTATTGTTACGTCGGGTATTAAGAGAAAGATCAATCAAATCAAATCGTTAGAACAAATGACGAGATCTATTTAATTATCAATCAGCAAACGCGAACTACTTCGGCTATCTCTCTCTTTCTCTCTCTCTCTCTCTCTCTCTCTCTCTCTCATAACTGACGGTAGTTAGATTGATCAACAATAAATATGCGAAACGATTAAATAAAATTTACTCTCGATTCACTACAGAATGTAATGCAAAAAAAGAAGAGAGAAATGGATAACGTGAAATAATAGGAAAGGTGTTTATCTCCGCTTTGACGTGAAATCCAATCAACGTCTCCATTGCGACTTGACCTTACGAGAATTAGGTCGAGGATCCACTCGGAAGATTAATGCTTGTACTGATTAGTCTCAGGATCTCCAAGACCGGCACCTTCAACCATTAGCCAATTCGTGATCTTTGTCCATCGCTCACATCATATTGCTCGCTAGACAGTCATAAAATCATAACCGTTCCTCTTACTTTTTTTTATAAATTTTATTATTTACACGCAATAATTATTATTTACTAATTATTAGTGGGAAAAATGTTTCAAAATAACAATGAAATTTCCATCCAACATAGATTAATTATAACGCAATGAATGTGCAATATTATCATAGGAAACACATTTCTCATTCGAAAAAAAGGATTGAAAAAATCATTGAATACTTTTTTTTTATCACAAGATAAAGTATGCGATACAAATGTCCAAAATCAAGATTATTTTGAAAATGGAACAACAATATATTGTATGATTAACTCGATAGAAAAAAGTAATTCCTTACATATTTTTTGCAATTTATAATTGGTACTATTGTTTATTTATATAGTGACATTGTAACAAAAAAATGTTAAAAAAGTAAAAAAACGTACATCTCTCTACTATGAACAAAATAGCTTGTTTCACATATTAGTATGACCTTTTATCAGTTACGATGCGTAGGATTTGTTTATGTATGTTAACATGGCGTCGGCGTGTCTCCCTCCTGGTCATAGGTAAGTTTGATTTATAGGCGGAGCATCTGACAGCAGACACCACCCCCAACTGAGGAGGCACAACAGCTGTTTCATGTTTGGTGTGTAGAGAAACCCAACTAAGTTTATGACATCTATGTGACACGGCTCACAAACGAATTTTCCCTCCCATGATATCGCATAATCGAAAATTCAACGAATATCCTTATGATGAATTAAAACCAGCCGAATTTCTAATTTACCGCCTGATGAATTTACTTCCTTATCCTCTGTAGCTATATACGCTTAATACCATATACGGATAAAGAAGAAACCTATTCTATCTACCTTATTTTTACCTTTTATGAATAAAGTAGTACATTATCCTATGTTTGTTCGTTTAACTAACGATAGTAAATCAATGTTATACCTACAGAAAGTCATTACAATTTCTATTTAACATTAAATGATATAATATAATTGGCCAACTGTGAATATCTTTCCTCCCTTCCTTTGTCAGTCATGAGAAAAACATGAAGACTTTATCTAATCGAGGTATACGTACAAATTATGAAAATATATATTATAAAAATATATATATTGAAAATATTATGTATAAATATGAATCTTTGTATTATAAACTACAACGTTTACGAGTTTTCGAATACCCCATTTTTTGTACTCGGAAGTACGTATCACTCCAAATATATAGCATTGATTTAAACGAGTAATAATCTAAAATGATTCGCGATTAAGTTAAGGT